GTCATATTTGACTCTAAAAACACTAACAAAGCTTCTTAATGCCTCTCAAAACTTTTTGGGTGTGGCCGAAGTCCTATGAGATTTTGGTTTAGGAGCTTCTAAACGGAGAAACACTAGTTTAGCTTTTGGGATCTGGTTGCGGTTCTAGTTCTTATATTCAATCATACACAAGAGATCAAGTCATATTTGACTCCAAAAACACAAACAGAGCTTCTTAATGCCTCTCAAAGCTTTTTGGGTGTGGCCGAAGTCCTATGAGATTTTGGTTTTGGAGCTTCTAAACGGAGAAACACTAGTTTAGCTTTTGGGATCTAGTTGCGGTTCTAGTTCTTATATTCAATCATACTCACGAGATCTAGTCATATTTGACTCCAAAAACACTAACAAAGATTCTAAATGCCTCTCAAAGCTTTTTGGGTGTGGCCGAAGTCCTATGAGTTTTTGGTTTTGGAGCTTCTAAACGGAGTGACACTTCTTTAGCTTTTGGGATCCGGTTGCGGTTCTAGTTCTTATACCCAATCATACACATGAGATCTAGTCATATTTGACTCCAAAAACACTAACAAAGCTTCTTATTGCCTCTCAACGCTTTTTGGGTGTGGCCGAAGTCCTATGAGATTTTGGTTTTGGAGCTTCTAAACGGAGAAACACTAGTTTAGCTTTTGGGATCCGGTTGCGGTTCTAGTTCTTATAATCTATCATACACACGAGATCTAGTCATATTTGACTTCAAAAACACTAACAAAGCATCTTAATGCCTCTCAAAGCTTTTTGGGTGTGGTCAAATATGACTAGATCTCGTGTGTATGATTGAATATAAGAACTCTAGTTCTTATACCCAATCATACACATGAGATCTAGTCATATTTGACTCCAAAAACACTAACAAAGCTTCTTAATGCCTCTAAAAGCTTTTGTAAGAATGTGGAGATTAGGTTGCGAGAATGGGACTGAGAATAAGCGGAAATGGAGATTAGAGAGATTAGAGAGAAAGAGATTTGAAGATGAGAAAGAGAGAGATTATCTCTTCTTACTTGATTTGGTAATTACATAGGTTCCCTTTTAAAGGGGATACAAAAGGAATATCCAAGAAGGATATCCTATTTACAACGGTCATGAAGACCTAAAAGGAGAAAGAAAACGCGTCTAAGGATAAGGCAACACGTCATAGAGTAAAGCATAAAGCAACTCTTGTCTTCTTCCTCTTTTGAACTTGCAACGGCTACAAGGAAGACTCGGGAAGGGTCTGGAGGCTTCTAGAAGGGCCTTGGAGAGGATCCAAGGCTAAATGACCGAGAGAAAACATCACAGGCCGAGACAAAACTCCAAACGTACGGACGGACTTAAAAGCTGGCCGTACGGGCGAGATCTTAAATCGGTTGTGCAACCGATCGTCATAACCGATCGATAGTTATATGATGCGTCGATCGTTTGTGCAACCGATTTACACAACCAAGCGGCAAAACCTTTTCTTACCTGATCGGTTGTGCAACCGATCAGCAAGACCGATTGGAAGACAAGTTTCCCGTTTCTTCACTTCATTCAATACTCCCCCTCAAGTCTAACCGGAGAAGGATGGAGGTTAGACTTGGATCCAAATTCAACCACCTCATTAAAAACCTAAGTGTAGAAAACCTCATGGGATAAAACCACACTTAGGGAAAAAGAGTATGGGATATTTGGCTAAGAGGATCATGGCCGAGAAAGGTCAACGAGGCCAAGTTTGTGATGAATGTACTCACAAACTTTGGTGCTAGCTCCTTTGGTAAAGATGTCGGCCAATTGTTCTTCAGTATCGGTGTAGCAAGGTAGGATGACTCCAAGTTGAACTTGTTCTCGGACCTTGTGACAATCCACCTCAATGTGCTTCGTTCTTTCATGGAACACTGAATTTGAGGCGATGTGAATGGCGGCTTGATTGTCGCAATGCATGGTGATTGGCTTTGGTGTGTCAATTCCGAAGTCTTTGAGGAGTGCTTTCAACCACATAAGTTCAGTTGTGAGCTTTCTCATGGCCCGGTACTCGGCTTCACAACTTGAAAGGGAGACCACCTTTTGCTTCTTGCTTCTCCAAGTAACTAGGTTGCCACCAATGAATGTGCAATAGCCGGTGGTTGACCTCCTATCCTTTTTGTCTCCAGCATAGTCCGCATCACAGTATCCCACCAGCTCCGTGTTTTTGTTGCATCCCATCCAAATGCCTTGACCCGGAGCTCCTTTGAGATATTTGAGGATGCGGTTCACCATGTTCCAATGATGTAGCGTGGGAGCTTGCATGTGTTGACTTACTACATTCACAGCAAAGCAAATGTCAGGCCTAGTAATGGTTAAATAAATGAGCTTACCTACAAGTCTTCGATATTGTGTGACATCTTCGAAAGGCTTGTTGTCAAGCTCCCCCTTACGATTGGCCTTGTAGTCGTCTTCCAAGGGAGTCTTAGCTGGTTTTGCTCCAAGCTTACCTACTTGACTAAGAAGATCAAGAGTGTACTTCCTTTGAGATAAGAAGAGACCTTCCTTTGATCTACAAACTTCTATCCCAAGGAAGTACTTTAGTTCACCAAGGTCTTTTATATCAAAAACACTCTTAAGAAAGGTTTTAGTCTCTTGAATCCCTACCTTGTCATTCCCGGAGATGATAATATCATCTACATAAACGAGAATGACTACTATACCTTCCTTGCTTGGGAGAGTGAAAAGGGTGTTGTCGGCTTCCGACTTCTTGAATCCTCTTTCCAGCAAGGTTGTGCTCAGCTTGTGGTACCAAGCTCTCGGGGATTGCTTCAAACCATAGATGGCTTTCTTGAGTTTAAGGACCTTCCCGGGTGCATTATGATCTTCAAGACCCGGTGGTGGCTTCATGTAGACTTCTTCTTCAAGTTCTCCTTGAAGGAAGGCATTCTTAACATCCATTTGCCAAAGTTCCCACTCCAAGTTGGTAGCTAGAGAGAGAACCACTCTAACCGTATGGAGCTTTGCGACCGGGGCAAACGTATCCAAGTAATCCACCCCATACGTTTGAGTGAACCCTCTTGCAACAAGCCTAGCTTTGTAGCGTTCAATGTCCCCATTGCACTTGTACTTGATGGTGAAGACCCACTTGGATGTCACCGCTCTCTTGCCTTTAGGTAACTCTCCTTCTTCCCAAGTATGGTTATGTTCCATAGCTTGTCTTTCGGCGGCTATAGCTTCTCTCCATACTTGATGTTGGATAGCTTCTTCATAGGTTTGAGGAATCCAATGTTGATCAATTTGTCCAAGGAAGACTTGATGTTCCTCGGGAAAGTGAGCAATGGTACACACGGCTTGAATAGGATGAGCCACGGCTTGACTATTGTAGTAAACCCGAGTGTTCTTCCAATTTGATGGAGGGAACTTCTGTCTTTGACTTCTTCTTAGGGCTATAGGAGCTTTTTGGGATGTAGAGCCTTCATTATGATCCGATGTAGACAAATTCTCCTCTTCGGATAAAGTAGTCTCTTCCTCATGATCACTTGGAATCTCTTCCTCTTCAAGATTGTCTTCTTGAATATTTTCTTCTTCTTGTAAATGTTCTTCTTCCTCATGTTGTGATGTTTCTTGTTGTTGAGTGGGCTCCGGATTAGGATTTGATGAGTTGGTGTGACTTTGAGAGTTGCTTACACCAAGTCTTTCCAAGATAATTCGGAGGTTGCTAGCTCTATCCGAAGGTGAATGGGTGAGATCTTGAATGTCTTCCCAATTCTTTTCTTCATAGTAGCCTTTACCCTCAACAAACTTCACATCTCTTGAGACAAGAACTTTCCTTGTTTCCGGTATATAGCACTTGTATCCTTTTTGTGTGATTGAGTACCCGATAAACATGCCCTTGACACTCTTAGGTTCGAGTTTGTTTCTTTGTTCACCTATAAGGACAAAGCAAACACAACCAAACACACGTAAGTGATTGATAGACGGTTTATTCTTGTTAAGTACCTCAAAGGGAGAGGAATCTTGTAGGATCTTGGTTGGTGTCCGGTTGATCAAGTAGCAAGCTAGGACCACCGCATCACTCCAAAAACGTTTAGGAACATTGGTGTGGAACATCATCGATCTTGCCACTTCCATGAGATGCCTATTCTTCCTCTCCGCTACTCCGTTTTGTTGTGGTGTATAAGGGCAGCTTGTTTGATGGATTATCCCGTGCTTGGCCAAATGTTGCTTGAAGGCATGACTTGTATATTCACCACCATTATCGGACCTAAAGATTTTGATCTTGGCATTGTAATGGTTAGTGACATAGTTTTGAAAGTTGATAAAAGCCTCAAGAACTCTATCTTTAGAAGGTAACAAAGTTAACCAAGTATATTTAGACTTCTCATCAATGAATGTGACAAAGTATTTCTGATTTTCTCTAGATAAACAAGGTGAAGTCCAAACATCCGAATGAACCAAATCAAAACAATTCTCATAAATAGTATTAGACTTGGGAAATACGGATTTGCAATGTTTACCAAGGATACAAGCCTCACATTCATTATTCTTAAAGGAAATACTTGGTAACAAAAGACCTAAAGCACGAGAATGAGGATGTCCTAATCTAGCATGCCAAATAGCATTATTCGCATTAACAAGAATTGAGCTAAAGTGAGAAGATAGAGGAGTAGAAAGCTTTGTATCTTCAAGAACATAAAGACCATCCTTTGTACCTCCATGACCAAGCACTCTACTAGTCTCAATATCCTGAAAATGAACATCATTAGGACCAAAGATAGCATAGCAATTAAGATCGGTAGTAGCTTTCTTAACGGATAACAAGTTAGAAGTGAAGGTAGGCATATAGAAAGCTTTAGACTTTTTGCTAAACAATTCTAAATCTCCTACTCCTTTAACCGGAATCTTATCACCATTAGCAATTATGACATTTTGATAGTAAGGTTTTGCTTATCTAACATGTATCAATCCCTAATACACATGCCAGAGGCTCCCGAATCAACAATAAGAGGTTTTAAAGCACTAAGAGCATGATAAGCGTTACCGGAAGACTCTTTGAGAGCCTTGATGAGTGCGTCGAGGTCAGAACGTCTCACAAGGTCGGAAGAGGCCATCATTGCGGCTCCATTTCCTCCCAAGGCTTGACTTGATGTTCCGGCTTGCTCTTGGCCTCCAAGGTTCCCTCCGGTAGCTTGGTTTGCTCTTGGCTCTCTTCGTGCTGGCTTTAGGTGAGGGTGAAGAATCCAGCACTTCTCTTTGGCATGTCCACTCCGTTTGCAATGATCACACCATGGAGCTTTCCCACGGTTGGCATTGAAGTTCCCACGGTTGGCGGATGCAAGCTCACTTGAGTTGCCCGAGACAAGCTCTCCTTTGCTACCAAACAACCCGAGAGATCCTTGCTCCTTTTGGATTTGAGAACACACTTCTTCAAGGTTTTGGAGCTTGTCAGCACGGAGAAGATGCTTGATGAGGTCGTTGTACGCCGGACTCAAGGTGAAGAGTAGACCAAAGACCTTGTCTTGCTCACGCCTCTCGTTGATGACCGCCGGATCAAGAGTGTTGGGTCTCAACATCTCAAGTTCGGCCCAAAGAGACCGAAACTTCCCAAAGTGTTGGGTGAACTCCATGTCTCCTTGGGTCAGCTCGTTGATGGCTTTCTTGATCTCAAAAACACGGCTTAGGTTGGATTGGTTTCCAAAGACATTTTGCAAAGTTTCCCAAAGATCCTTGGGAGTCTCACAATAGGAGTATCCTTCAAGGATTGATGCTTCAAGGGAGTTTTGGAAAACGGATAAGACCATTTGGTCTTCTTGGAACCACTTGTCTTCATCAACAAGGGCGATCTCCAAGCCATCTTCGTTCGTGGTTGTCTCTCTTGGCGCTTCACTCTTGATGATGTGAGGCCAGAATCCACGACCGCACAAGATGGTCTTCATGGTTCTTGCCCAAAGCAAGTAGTTTCCTCCTTTGAGGGTGACTGGAGCACGAATCTTGGTGTTCTCCATGGTGAGAAGAATCGAAAAGAGAATGAAGATTGGAAAAGAGAATTTGCAAGAAGAATTGAGTATGTGGAGCTTTATGGCTCTGATACCATGTAAGAATGTGGAGATTAGGTTGCGAGAATGGGACTGAGAATAAGCGGAAATGGAGATTAGAGAGATTAGAGAGAAAGAGATTTGAAGATGAGAAAGAGAGAGATTATCTCTTCTTACTTGATTTGGTAATTACATAGGTTCCCTTTTAAAGGGGATACAAAAGGAATATCCAAGAAGGATATCCTATTTACAACGGTCATGAAGACCTAAAAGGAGAAAGAAAACGCGTCTAAGGATAAGGCAACACGTCATAGAGTAAAGCATAAAGCAACTCTTGTCTTCTTCCTCTTTTGAACTTGCAACGGCTACAAGGAAGACTCGGGAAGGGTCTGGAGGCTTCTAGAAGGGCCTTGGAGAGGATCCAAGGCTAAATGACCGAGAGAAAACATCACAGGCCGAGACAAAACTCCAAACGTACGGACGGACTTAAAAGCTGGCCGTACGGGCGAGATCTTAAATCGGTTGTGCAACCGATCGTCATAACCGATCGATAGTTATATGATGCGTCGATCGTTTGTGCAACCGATTTACACAACCAAGCGGCAAAACCTTTTCTTACCTGATCGGTTGTGCAACCGATCAGCAAGACCGATTGGAAGACAAGTTTCCCGTTTCTTCACTTCATTCAATATTAAGAAGCTTTGACTCCAAAAACACTAACAAAGCTTCTTATTGCCTCTTAACGCTTTTTGGGTGTGGCATGTGTATGATTGGGTATAAGAACTAGAACCGCAACCGGATCCCAAAAGCTAAAGAAGTGTCACTCCGTTTAGAAGCTCCAAAACCAAAAACTCATAGGACTTCGGCCACACCCAAAAAGCTTTGAGAGGCATTAAGAATCTTTGTTAGTGTTTTTGGAGTCAAATATGACTAGATCTTGTGTGTATGATTAGATATAAGAACTAGAACCGCAACCGGATCCCAAAAGCTAAACTAGTGTTTCTCCGTTTAGAAGCTCCAAAACCAAAAAGTCATAGGACTTCGGCCACACCCAAAAAGCTTTGAGAGGAAATAAGAATCTTGGTTAGTGTTTTTAGAGTCAAATATGACTAGATCTCGTGTGTATGATTGAATATAAGAACTAGAACAGCAACCGGATCCCAAAAGCTAAACTAGTGTTTTTCCGCTTAGAAGCTCCAAAACCAAAATCTCATAGGACTTCGGCCACACCCAAAAAGCGTTGAGAGGCAATAAGAAGCTTTGTTAGTGTTTTTGGAGTCAAATATGACTAGATCTCATGTGTATGATTGGGTATAAGAACTAGAACCGCAACCGGATCCCAAAAGCTAAAGAAGTGTCACTCCGTTTAGAAGCTCCAAAACCAAAAACTCATAGGACTTCGGCCACACCCAAAAAGCTTTGAGAGGCATTAAGAATCTTTGTTAGTGTTTTTGGAGTCAAATATGACTAGATCTCGTGTGTATGATTGAATATAAGAACTAGAACCGCAACTAGATCCCAAAAGCTAAACTAGTGTTTCTCCGTTTAGAAGCTCCAAAACCAAAATCTCATTGGACTTCGGCCACACCCAAAAAGCTTTGAGAGGCATTAAGAAGCTTTGTTTGTGTTTTTGGAGTCAAATATGACTTGATCTCTTGTGTATGATTGAATATAAGAACTAGAACCGCAACCAGATCCCAAAAGCTAAACTAGTGTTTCTCCGTTTAGAAGCTCCTAAACCAAAATCTCATAGGACTTCGGCCACACCCAAAAAGTTTTGAGAGGCATTAAGAAGCTTTGTTAGTGTTTTTAGAGTCAAATATGACAAGATCTCGTGTGTATGATTGGATATAAGAACTAGAACCGCAACAGGATCCCTAAAGCTAAACTAGTGTTTCTCCGTTTAGAAGCTCCAAAACAGACAACTCATAGGACTTCGGCCACACCCAAAAAACTTTGAGAGGCATTAAGAAGCTTTGCTAGTGTTTTTGGTGTCAAATATGACTAGATCTCATGTGTATGATTGGGTATAAGAACTAGAACCGCAACCGGATCCCAAAAGCTAAAGAAGTGTCACTCCGTTTAGAAGCTCCAAAACCAAAAACTCATAGGACTTCGGCCACACCCAAAAAGCTTTGAGAGGCAATAAGAAGCTTTGTTAGTGTTTTTGGAGTCAAATATGACTAGATCTCATGTGTATGATTGGGTATAAGAACTAGAACCGCAACCGGATCCCAAAAGCTAAAGAAGTGTCACTCCGTTTAGAAGCTCCAAAACTAAAAACTCATAGGAGTTCGGCCACACCCAAAAAGCTTTGAGAGGCATTAAGAATCTTTGTTAGTGTTTTTGGAGTCAAATATGACTAGATCTCGTGTGTATGATTGAATATAAGAACTAGAACCGCAACTAGATCCCAAAAGCTAAACTAGTGTTTCTCCGTTTAGAAGCTCCAAAACAGACAACTTATAGGACTTCGGCCACACCCAAAAAGCTTTTAGAGGCATTAAGAAGCTTTGTTAGTGTTTTTAGAGTCAAATATGACAAGATCTCGTGTGTATGATTGGATATAAGAACTAGAACCGCAACAGGATCCCTAAAGCTAAACTAGTGTTTCTCCGTTTAGAAGCTCCAAAACAGACAACTCATAGGACTTCAACCACACCCAAAAAACTTTGAGAGGCATTAAGAAGCTTTGCTAGTGTTTTTGGAGTCAAATATGACTAGATCTCATGTAATACGATCCCGGGGGGAGATCAATCCCAATTTCGGCACTTGGAAGATCTGGAGTGGATATTCTCGAATTAGAGACAACACATGACTCAAAGACGAGGTGATGGATTGAAAGACGCCACAAAAGGATGCGAAAAGCCTTTTGATAAGTCGTAAGAGATCAAAATTCGACAAACGAAAATGGATCAATGATCTATGCTTAAAAGAGTTTGAGAATAAAAAGATAGATAGGTTCTCATAAGAGATTACAAGGGATTATATAGAAGAGAACAAGCCTTGGAACATGCTCACAAGGATGTCTCGAAAATGAAAAAGAAATAAAGACTAGATTGAAAGTTTGAAAATAACTCTTCCTCTTCTTGGCTCCAAAATGACTCTTGATCTCCTATTTTCGTCATCCTTCTGGACCATCAATTAAACCACTTGGTTTGCGCTCTCCTTGGGCTTATAATAAGCATAAAATAGGCTGGACTTGATATGTATTCCCTTGAGCCAATTTCTAGATGTTATGCCATGGTTTTGATCACCAAATGGGTGATTTGAATGTGAATCATTTGCCTCATTAAAAACCTTGTCAAGAAAACCCATTGGGACAAAACTTGACAAGGGAAAAAGAGTACAAATGAGACACATGCCCATTTGATGATCATGTATCAAAACCAGTGAGGTTAAGATAGCATCTTTTCCATACTCTTTCTCCTCTAAAAGCTCATTCTCTGATTCAAAATGCTCCTCAGGTTCAAGCTGCTTCTCTGCTTCAAGCTTTTCCTCGGCTACAAGCTCTTTATCAAGTTCCAATTCCTTTGTGCTTTCCATGATCACATCATCCTCTCCCACTTGAAAAGGATTTGACCTCAAATCCAATTCACTTTTTCTTCTTGTTCGGTTGAATGGATAAACGATGTTTGGCATCAAAACAACTCCAATTCCAGTCCTCTCAAAGAGATTAAACGAGAGAGCATCTAAGTCTGGTGGCTCTTCCTTTATTCCTGCAATATTGTCAACAGCTTTGGCAAATAGCAAGTGCGTTATCACAGTCATGGAATCACTATAAACAAGTAAACATGGCTCAGTTTTGATCAATGCATTATGTATGGGTGGTAGTCCTATAGGTTTATCCTCCGAGAAAATGTCCTCATATTCCTGCAAAATAGACATCATCTCACTCGGCAGCACCGGTGCAGGGTTGATGTGATCCTGGAAAGCACCAAGGACATGGAATGTAGAAATGAGCTTGAACCCGTAGAGCAGCACGAAGCAAGGAATCAGCTTGAACCAGAGGAGCAGCATGAACCCGAGGATGAGCTTGTAGCTGCGGATGTTCTCTTGAAGAAGCTTATCAAACCACCTTGGATTGGAGAAAGAGCTATGTCAATTGAGTTCAACAATGGGAGAGTGACTCAATTGTACTCTTTTTCCCTTGTTGAGTTTTGTCCCAATGGGTTTTCTCAACAAGGTTTTTAATGAGGCAATTGTGTCACTCCATCATGGCCCATCTGTTGAATTCGAGGCCCAACTCCTCTTATGTCTCAAGCCCACGTCCAAACCAAGAGGAGGAGCCTCATTTTCGAATTCAAACCTTCACTTATTCTCTTTTCATTTTCGAGATTGCATTGTAACTTGTGTTTCTCTTCTGATCTTTTCCCCTTCTTTCTCTACTTAAACTCTCTGTATCTCTCTGAGACATTTTATCTATCTTTTCAACCAAAAACCTTTTAAGTTAGATCATCTCTCTTAGGTGTGTAATATCCTGGAGAAATCCTGTTCTTTCTTTGGTGTGTCATATCCAGAGAAGGTTCAGACGGTAT